AGACCCCGGCTAGCTCAAGGCCCAACTGAGGGGACAAGCCAACAGCCAGCCTCAAAGACAGAAGGGTCTTACAGACCCGGCTGGCCTCGAGGCCAATGGACAAGCAACCAGCCAGCCTCAAGCCAGCAGCGGGTCTACTGAAGCAAAGCCAGGCCAGCAGTGTCTTTAGACCCCGCTGGCCTCAAGGCCCAACTGGACAAGCAACCCTCAACACCAGCAAATTCAAAAAATGGCTTGGTCAAAGTGGCACTGGTCATGTCAACGTGGCAAGCAGAGTAACATGCAGATCTTTGCAGTACATGTTCGTTCCTGGGGCAAGAAACGGTGTCTAGCATTGGCCCGAAAAATTCGTAAAAATGTGCCCCTTGAGCTTGCTATATTTGGATGTTAATTTACATCAACATGCAGATTCACAGGCACCCACAGACAGGCAACCATTCACACTACCACACACATGCGGCATTGTCAGACATTGAGTCACATGACCACGTAAACCCACACACACACACCCACACTTACACTGCGCGCCCACACACGCACCCACACACAAACACAGACACACACGCACACGCGCACGTGCACGCACAGACACACACACACACACACACACAAACACACACACACACACACACACACACACACACACACACACACACACACACACACACACACACACACACACACACACACACACACACACAAACACAACACACACACACACACAGACACACACACACACACACACACACACACACACACACACACACACACACACACACTCACACACACACACACACACACACACACACACACACACACACACACACACACACACACACACACACACACACACACAAACACACTCACACCACACACACACACACACACACACACACACACACACACACACACACACACACACACACACACACACACACACACACACACACACACACACACACGATCAGCCTGGTAAGGCATGACAATCATTAGTGGAGGCCGCTGAGGCTCTGGCCAAGGCCCAGGGCGGCCGCAGCAGCTTGTCTACTGCTGGGAGCCGGATTCTTAACCAACCTCAATAGATTGTCACTGTATACCATATATATATAATATAATATAGGTTATTATATATATTAGTACAGTATGTATATAAGCATACAATATAGTATACATGTATATTATAAATATAGGCCACTTGAGCCAAACAGCCACGAAGGGTTAGGCGAAGGGGGGGGGGGTACCACGAACCTAGGCGAACGCGAGCCGGTGATCCCGACTTAGTGGTGACCCCCGTCGTTTGGCCCTGAATATTGGGATAAGGTCCAGTTGCTCCAAATACAAGGGTGTAAACAGTTATTCACGTTGCAAGAGGCGATGGTATGGAGTGACGGAATGCTACTCGGACAGTATAAGACCTGTTCAAATCCCCCCGGGTACCAGCGATACTTCTCACGCCGTGCCGTGGAGACCACAACAAGTCCGGCTATACACTTTGCAACTTCAAACAAATGAAAACTTTGGTTTTGGACAAGGAATACCAGGGTTTGACGTTCATATACTTTACAAGTTCCACAAAAAAACACTTGGTCTTGGACAAGAAATACCAGGGTTTGACATTCATAGACTTTACAAGTTCCAAAAATATGTTATTTATTTATTTGTTCAAAGACAAAACAAAGTTTTGGAATGTTTTGGACAAGGCGTAGAGAAAGTCCGCAAGCACTCCCTCCGCAGCCTCCTCCCTCTTCGCGCCGCGGGGCCGCAGCACGTCTTCCTGGCCTTCCGCGGCGAGTTGCAGAGGCGTGACGCCGAAGTCGAGGTCTCCCTGGCACGGGGTGAGTTCAGTCACTTGCTCAAAAACCCGGTTTGGAAGGGAATCTATGAAACCGGGATTTGTTCCAAAGGGAATCGATCGAGCAAACCTATTCAAAACTGTTTTTGTTCCGACTTAAGCAAATGGAAGTTGGCCAAATCCAAAGGTGGCGAGGAGCAAGGCTTCAAAGGGCTTCCGGCTTGGAGGGCCAAAGGTCGTTCCCTCTTTGGGTGGGGGCCTCACAGGAGCACGTGGTTTCGGTCTCACCCGTGGACACTCCAGCCGTTTCTGGTCTCACAGGAGCATGTGGTCGCTCAAAGTACTGCGCCTGCCACGGAATCCAGCCCCACATCTGCACTCTCGCAGGCTGCTTCAGAAGCGTGCGCGTGCTAATTTAGCGCGTGGGCGCAGCTTTTCAAGCGTCGGAGCACGCAGCGGCTCGGGTCTCACAGGAGCACGTGAGCGCTCCAAACCACTCAAAACAGCGTGCCTGCTACGAAACCCAGCTGCAAAACCCACGCGGGACCTGGCTTCAACTGCACTCACGCACGTCGCTTCACAAGCATGCGCGTGCCAACTTAGCGCGCGGGCGCAGCTTTTCAAGCGTCGGAGCACGCAGCGGCTTGGGTCTCACAGGAGCACGTGAGCGCTCTAAGTCACTCAAAAGAGTGCGCCTGCCACGAAATCTAGCTCCAGGAAGGACCTGGCTTCCTTGTGGGCGGGGGGGGGGGGCGGAGGGGGGGCGGGGGGGGGATGGTAAGCACACCTGCTCAAGTGCACCCGATCAGCACTGCATCCACACACGCGAAAGAGGAAGCGCGCCTGCATCCACGCATGCGGGTGGGGCGGGGTGGGGGGGGCGGGGGGGGGATGGTAAGCACACCCGCTCAAGCGCACCCGCTCGGCACTCCATCCACGCACGCGAAAGCGAAAGGGCACCTGCTGAAGCGCACCCGCTCAGCACTGCATCCACTCATGCGGGGGGGGGGTGGGGGGGGCTGGGGGGGATGGTAAGCACACCCGCTCAAGTGCACCTGCATCCACCACGCATGCGGGGGGGGGGGGAGGGTGGGGGTGGGGCGGGGGGGGATGGCAAGCACTGCATCCACACACGCGAGAGAGGAAGCGCACCTGCGTCGGGGGGGGGGGGTGGGGGGGGGATGGTAAGCACACCCGCTCAAGCGCACCCCTCAGTGACAGTGTTGAAAAAAAATTAGCTTTTTGCTAGGACCGAGAGCGCGAGAGGTTCCTATGCCCGGTCGTGCGGCTCACTACATCCCACGCCTTCGGGCGGGAAGCTACTCGAAAAGTCCTGTATCTCAGCAGCGGCTGCTCGCAAGTAGCGAGCTGCTGCCTCCAATGCGGCCGCGGCCGCCGCGACATGAGTCGACGTGCCGCCTGATATCGCAGGCGCGCTCACAGCCTCCGCGAGGATCGACTGCGCGTTTTCTGCCGCGCGCCTAAGCTCCTGCATGCGCGCGATGTCCTCGGACGTGATCGGAGCCGCCGTGTTGAGGTCACTCATCATGGCAGGCAGAGCGCGCAACTTCCGTTTGCTTGAGCTGCGCTACGCCTGCGTGTCGCGACTCGTGTGGTAAGAACGTGTGGTCGCCTCGCGCTGACCTTCGAAGAGCGTCCCTCTAGCCGCTCACTTCCAAGCGCGCGCGACACTACGCACGTAGAGCGTTCCTGTGGCCGCTTCCTTTGCAAAGCACGCAGAAAAGCCAGCGACATGAAGAAGAAGCACGAGGCCGAGTGCAAGACGCAACCGCTCCGTGCATCCCTGGATGGGATCACGCATGGATGAAAGGCTTGCACGCGCGTACGCTACTAGTGCGGTTTTGCTTACATGCGCGTGCCCTTTTTGGGGGACATGCGCGGTATCACATGCGCCGGCGAGACCCACGAAAAACTTGCCGTAACTTGCCCAAAGTACCGCACCTACCACGAAATCCAGCCCTCGACATGCGCGGGCGAGACCAAATTTACGTGCGCCTGCGAGCCGAAAACCACGTGCGCTCGCAAGGCCGTGACCCTCAAACGGGTGGCACTGCCCGTTGGCACTTGAGTCACAATCAAAACCCGGTGTTAAAATGGTCGTAATCCCAGAACCATGCTTCAACAAATAAGGCGGAGATCCGCAGCTATTTATGGCAAGGGGATTGCCCTTACTATCCTTCATCTACCCGGGTTTTGATTGTGGCTCAGTTGGGGACTCCTCGCCCCCAACAAGGGACGAACAAACGACTCCGGGTCTCTGAGCACTGAGTGCGCGAGCTTTGAAGAGTTTGGGGGGTGGGAAATACCAAAATACAAAAACAAGGGGCCTGAAAAAGGCTTGAAATCAAAGAGTACGGAAAAAAGGAACCTGATGAGGGACAGTGCCATTGGCCTTGGTGGGTTCCAACCCTCGGATTGGAAGGTCTGTCTCGAAATGATGAATCCCCTTTGGGTTTCGCTTGGGCTGGTCTTGATTCATATATGGGTTTACCCGGAAAATCAGCGTCTTCCTTTCGGTCTTCCGGCAAACTCAACAAGGGGACATGCCTCGACGAGAACAGACTTCAGAGACTCGCATGGGCCTTGCCAAGGAGGCTAGAGGCTAGAGGTCCAGCTAAGCACAACATGAAACTGTGCTGATCGCCGAAGTTGGAGAAATGAGTCAGCAGGGATGGGGAAAAGGGTGTTTGAACTGCACGTCTCCCCTTTTAAATAGACTTGGTTGGGCCTTCAACAACCTCCCTGATCCCGTCCTGCCGTAAATATCGCTATTAATTTGTTTCCCGAACAAACAGGTCACAATATCCTGTCTGAGTTCTACACCGCCACACGTAGGATTGGCAGCTTGAGCACTTCGCCAAAGCTTTCCCGCCTCATTCAATACAGCTTTAACGATAAATAAAAGCGTGGCACGACAAAACGGATCTCCCAACAATTAATCCTCAACCTAAAACAGAAGGATAGGCAATACACACCTGCTGGTGTCATTCTTTTCCCAGCTTAGCAAGTTGCCTAGTCCCAGCAGTCGAAGCCCAAACCAAATTAGCAGTACCTGTCTCCGTGAACATTGACCTCAGCCTCCGGGCCTGATGGCCCGAGTTGCACATGTATTCATGATTCAACACTATGTGCCTCCAAATTCTCATGCCGCTTTGCTTCCATGGGTGAAACACGCTGACATCGCCAGCTACCCCTCCAGTGCATGAACATGGAACCTGACTGTGGGCTCCTGGAAATTATGGTTTGACAGGGACCCTCTGGCGGGCCCTATGTTAGTGGACAGGGTTGGTTTAGGCTCGGTTTAACTTTATTAAGGCTTGGATTGAAAGCAAACTTTGGAGTCGCAGCACCCCCATGCATAACATCAATAAGCACACCAATGGAATCCGCCGACCCCATGCCTGGTCCAGAATGGACCATGCTTTCGGCATGGGGGCGGTGTGTTCTGTGTTGATTTTGTTGATATGCTTTCTATAAGTTTAATGTGAATATGATTATGTATATATATATATATAACCTATATGTCCCTTGGGGCGGCCCTTGGGGCTGGTTTCTACGTCGGCTGGATTTCTGGATTTCTGGATTTCTGGATCTCTGGATTTCTGGATTTCAGGAATTCTGGATTTCCCCACCCCTCCCCCCCCCTCCCCCACCTCCCCCCCCCCAGTCCTTCCGTAGTCTTCCGTAGTGTTCCGGCTTCTTCCCGTAGTCTTCCGTAGTCTTCCGGCTTCTTCCAGTAATCTTTCGTAATCTTTCGGCTTCTTCCCGTAATCTTCCGTAGTCTTCCGGCTTCTTCCCGTAGTCTTCCGTGGTCTTCCGCCTTCTTCCCGTAATCTTCCGTAATCTTTCGGCTTCTTCCAGTAGTCTTCCGTAGTCTTCCGTAGTCTTCCGGCTTCTTCCCGTAGTCTTCCGTAGTCTTCCGTAGTCTTCCAGCTTCTTCCCGTAGTCTTCCGAAATCTTTCAAGCTTCTTCCCGTAAATTTCCGCAATCTTTCCGGCTTCTTCTCCTAGTCTTCCGATACTGTTTCGGGACCAAACAACGCGCGTGTCCTGTGCTTTCGGGCTTCTTCCCTAGGCTTCGGGTAGTCTTCCCCCACCCCTCCGCCCCCCCCCTGTGTCTGTCTATGTCTGTCTACGTATCTGCATCTGTCTTCGTGTCCGCGAAGACCCCCCCTGCCCCTGCGTGTCTGTCTGTGTCTCTTTGTGTCTGTCTGGGTCTGTCTGCGTCTGTCTTCGTGTCCTCTCTGTCTCTTTGTGTCTGTCTGTGTCTGTCTGTGTCTGTCTACGTATCTGCGTCTTTCTTCGTGTCCCCCCCCCCCCGCGTGTCTGTCGGTGTATTTGTGTCTGTCTGGCTCTGTCTGCGTCTGCCTGCGCATCTGCGTCTGTCTTCGTGTCCGCGAAGACCCTCCCCCCCCCGCTGCGTGTCTGTCTGCGTGTCTTTGCGTCTGTCTGTGTCTGTCTACATATCGCGGGCTTTCTCTCGTCCCGGGCCGAAATTCTAAGGTGTGTGGGGGCGGCGGAACCAGGCCGCAGGCCATTAAATAACGAAGGCAAGTCGGTTTGTCAGAACACGGCAACCACTAAAATCTTCCGAGATTCTGCAGCCTGTCAGACACCTAAAAGAGGATAGAGGCGCTCCCACCCCCCTCCCCCCACCCCCCCCACCCAACCCACCCAACCCACCCAACCCACCGGACGTCAAATACGGACTGAGCCGGGGGCACCTGCAGGTCCGCTCGCTGCTCTGCCAGCCGCCGGCACACCTCCGCGTGACCACCTGCAAAGGGAAGGCATACGCATGTCCGCGTTGATGTTACGGATGTGCACTTCATAAATAAATATACATATATATATATATGTATAATACATATATTGAAATGGGGGGGGGGGGTGGGCGGGCGGCTCAGAATCTTGCAGAATTGAATTTTGCAGGTTTTAGCCGTATACAGAGGTGCCATTTTGGCTACCATTTTTTGAGCCACAGCCATATATATATATATATATGTGTGTGTATGCACAAACATGCCTGATCTGTATATTATAAAGGCAGCAACACACACACATACACATACACACACACACACACATGCACACGCACACACACACACACAAACACAAACACAAACACAAACACAACCACAACCACAACCACAACCACAACCACAACCACAACCACAACCACACACACACACACACGTTCATGATAAGCAGAAGCATATCTTTGCTTACGTAAATATGTTCATAAGCGCAATCCTGTGCAGCTAGAATAAGGTAGGTGCAAACAACTCATGTAGATATGTTTAGCATATGGCATATGCCGTGTTCGTCATACGGTCCCTGTACGGCAATTCCCACACCTCCGTACTGATGCACAACTGACTTCCTGACTTCAAACACACACACACACACAGACACACACACACACACACACACACACACACGCACACACAGACACACGTGTGGAGTTTGATGGTCAAATTGAACCGCTGGACCCAATCCCAAGATCAAAGGCCTGGTGACAGCATTGTCCTACAACCCCCCTCGCTACAACCCACTTGCCCGGTTGAGAAGCAACAAGACACTTTGTTTGAACCACAGAACAACAAAAATGGCAGCGCCACTGCACAACTGAGACAAGACAATCTCGTGTGGGTAACGCCTCAATCAACCTCCGTACCCTTCGCACTCAAACAGCACATACACACACACATAGACATATCGAGGCACGCAAAGACACAACTCATGGTGTTGACGCTGGAACTCAGATACTCCTTCCCCCACGCCCCCCCTTTCGCGCTAGCGCACCTCGCACAGCCATATGCGCTGCGGTGGCCCCTTCCCAGTCCTGACAATTCAGCAGCGCAGCGGCGTCCTGAGTGGCTCGAACATCACCAAACGTGACGAGGGAAAACATGCACCTCTTGCCTCTTGCTTGCTCACTGCCCAGTTGGTTTGAACAAAATGTAAAAGCAAGTTTCAACTCGTGGCGTGTAGATGTTCCTATCGTGAAGGAGAGAAAAACAACAACATCGGCAACTGCGAGCCCAGCCCATGGCAGGACAGTCTGTTCACGCGCTGCCTGACAAACACAGCAAGGAAGGAGTAATTACCTGGAGTCGGCAGGAATGGGGTCATGACCCTTGAACAACAATGGGAACATCTCCCCCTTGTCCAATTTGGAAGGGTATTGGAGACTCCAGCTAACCGTATGAACCAGACTTGAAGCACTTGTAGGGTGTGTACATGTCAATTCGACTACACACAATGCGTGATTCCAAAAAAGGAAAACCCCTACAAGTGCCTCCAACCCATCGATTTCCATCCGATATAGGACACACCCACACGCAGGGGCATTTTCAAGTATGGGGATTGGTATGGAGGCCAGATATAACTTATATACGGGGTATCTGCTGCGTTGCAAACTAACATTGGTGGTATAGAACACCTACAATGCCCTTGACTTACCGCCACCATGTCCAACTCAGCTTTGGAAACGGCATTCAAACAGACCCTCTGACAAAAGGACCCCTCCGTGTTCCAGCGAACACTGCCCAAGATGCAAAAACAAGCGGCAAGGGACTTGAGGTCCGAGTCCACCCGAGCAACTATCACAGTTTAATCACCAATCAAAGCAGTCCCTCAACTTGAAGACGCACCCGTCTTGAAAACATGAAAGGCAAATCTGCAACCCTAGACCCCCGAAAGGAAGTCACCATTTTAAGCCCTCCGCGTAGATCAACCTTCGGAAAGCTGTCAGTCAGGCGGCTGTCCAAATACTTGGTTGGATGGATGCTTCAAGGGAAACCATGGAAACCCAAAGGTTCCCCCCCCGGAAAAAAAAAAGAGGCACTACTACCTTAATGAGCTTATATCCCGCCCCCCCCCAAGTCCAGTCAAATGTTGAAGCGGGAAGCTCCAGTTTCTGTCTTTGATGAAAGTTTTCGAAACAGTCAAACGGACGGCCGCAGCCTCCCCCCCCCCCCCGCCCGGTCCGTCTTTGGGCCAACCTTCCGGTTGCGAAGCATTTTCCAAGGGAAACCCAACTCTCATTTCCCCCTCCGCCCCAGGACCACAAGCCCCACACCTCCAGTGTCCAAGGACCTCACGCCCCACACATGGCCAAAACAGCAGTGGCAGCCTTTTCTGGCTCATTTTGAAGGGACCCCCTCTCCACAAAAACAACAGCTCGTCTTTTGAGGAGACACGTGGATGGTTTTTTCTGCAAAACCGGGGCCAAAACTTCGGAGATGCCACCCATTTTGGCGCTGACCCAAAGCCCACGACTCCGCCTCGGCCATCTCCAAGAGCAGGTCACAGGCCTCCGCAGCCCCCGACTCCGCCGCGAGGTGCAACCCGCTGCGCTGCGCATCCTCGCTCCATCCGCTCCCAGAAAACCCGCCCAGAACACCAAGGGAAACCGGCGGGTGGAAAAAGAACCATGGTTGAACAAAAATGCGGCCCCAAGAAGAAGGTGGGCGAAAAATAAAATGACGAGGTTGGGACAACCACGTCAAGCTTCACATGGATCAATTGCTGTTTAAACAGTATTGAGGTTCCCCTTGAAAGAAAGCCATGGTCTGGTTGCTTCGGCCAAGTTGTTTTTCCCAACCCTGCAATGGACAGAATCGAAGCCTCCACCGTCACCATACCCGGGGCGGGGGGTACAAATAGGTTTAAGAGCCTAAGGGAGTTTCGCGGCCGGATCTTCGCAGGGAATGTGGGAATCACCCCAACCGTAGGAAAGGGTGAACCGTTTCCGTTGCATCACTCTGCCCATTCGTTTCAAAACAAGCCCCAACGGTATTCTGGAGACCTTGATCCCTGAAATACCTACGTCCAAAAGGCAAACAAAAAAACACCTGAAACACTATTTTGACTCCAGCTGCATTGTCACGCGGCCGCTTGCAAGTGGACTGGAATCCCACAAAAGGAATTGCCATAGCGGTGCATACTTCCTGTTGAACTAAATAAGGTGGACAACCTCACAAAATACAGTTCACAGCGCACCTCCACTTTGCCAAGGAAGCGGAGAACGTACGACCGAGCGGCTAGGTAGGGTTATATATAATATGCATATAGTACATCAATGTGTCATGTGCCGCAAGCGCATTGCCGACTGTCACATCTGTTGCAGTGATGCAAACAAACAGCAACCAAGCTGTCCCAGGCTTCATCGACGCAGGGCGCGTCGCTCAGCAGTTCTTGTGATGGAGGCGTCGTCATCCCCTGCACTTACCCTATATACCATCTCCTTACAGAACTCCTGGTAGCTCCTTAGCTCCCTCTTTTTAAACGCAAATTTGGATATAGCTCCTTGGCTCCCTTACAACCACTAGCCAGCACCCACAAGGGAATTGTGGCATCTACTGTCAACCTGCGGCCCCCAACTCCTGGTTTGGTTTGGGCTATGCTGGTGCAGGGAATCAGGGAATGACCCCTATCAACCATCTCCTATTGTTTCCTGTAAGGGACTCCCCAGGTTCATGGAGGAAATTGACTAGGTTCTCCAGTAGAGGTTAGAATAAGAGTACCAATTTTAGTAGGGGAACCCTCCCAACCAAAAAAGAAACGGTGAAAGGGCACCAATTGCTGGGGGACCTAGTTGATCCATCTTCGCTTGGACAAGCGGCATTGCAGGTCTCGGGGCGTAGGCCATGCTCTATTAGCCTCAGGCGTCAAGGCGCACCGGCTTAGCTCTGAAACATGTTTCTGGGTTTCGCACCATATGGCCATGGGTCAAAAGCCAAATCGTACCCCCAGTGAACATCCCAATCCCCACTAAAATAGACTAAAATGGGTGAATTCACCTACCCCAAAATGGGATCCCATTGGTTTTAACCCACAGCCATATGTTATCCGAATGTAATTTGCAGAGCCTGTTCGTGTCTCTTCAAATGTCACCAGGGTCTGGTTGAGATTGATGTATGGTAGGGTAACGATCCTCAAAGGAATGCGCTCAGCGGCAAGTGATCGGATTTACAGTACATGTTGTTTCACGCCTGCTGAACTCAAAACGCGTCAGTTTGACGCCAAGAACCCCTGCAGAAACATGCCGAAGGCTATAGGTTACACACCCAGCGCTCACATACCGAATATGAACATGACTCGAAACCGAAAAGCCCAAAGTGCCCACGCCCGACTTCTTTTCTTGCAGGCAGGTGCCTGCCAGGACATGACTAGAGGCTCCAATAGGTAAATACGCTCTTTGCCAGAAAATGCACTAGGCCAAAGGCCCGCCATCACAGTTCGATCCCTCAAATTGCTCCATCTTGGTTCCTTCCAAAGCGTTCAAATAGCATGTGCACACTAGGAATTCAGGTTCCATTCTCAATTTGCACAGTCGCAACATCTTTCACCAGTAGTTCGGTTCACAAAGTGGGAGGGTATCCCGAATCCTCATCCCTAATCCGTAGTTGGACATCGGCAAACCAGGGGAAACCACCCACCTAGCACCAGAGCACTACGGATTGGGACACTTGCTCATAGGTGTCCCTTTTGGAAAAATAGATGGCCCTGGTAGTTGATTGAACCACCAGGTAAACCAGGGCCCACTTGCTCCTTGACCGAGAGTAGGGGGGGTTGGGTTGCGTAACGCCTAGAAGCCTAGAAGCCTAATACTGGCGTCACGCCTAGAAGCCTAGAAGCCTAATACCCGCCTGACGCCTAGAAGCCGAGAAGCCTAGAAGCCTAGAAGCCCAATACTGGCATCACGCCTAGAAGCCTAATACCGGCGTCACGCCTAGAGCCGAGAAGCCCAGAAGCCTAATACTGGCGTCACGCCTAGAAGCCTAGAAGCCTAGAAGCCTAGAAGCCCTAGAAGCCTAAACGCTTTACCATTTTTGTTGCGCTTCTGCGCCTTTGCACTTTTCTGCACTTACACGCTCACGCTTTATTGCGCCTCATTAAGCTTCTACGCTTCTGCGCTTAAATGCGCTTCTGCGCCTAATTGCGCTTCTACGCTTCTGGGCTTAATTGCGCTTTTGCGCTTCTGCGCTTAATTGCGCTTCTACGCTTCTGCGCTTAATTGCGCTTCTGCGCTTTACGGCGCTTTTGCGCTTAATTGCGCTTAATTGCGCTTCTACGCTTCTGCGCTTAATTGCGCTTTTGCGCTTCTGCGCATAATTGCGCTTCTACGCTTCTGCGCTGTATTGCGCTTTTGCGCTTTATTGCGCTTCTGCGCTTCTACGCTTCTACGCTTTATTGCGCTTCTATGCAGCTTCTACGCTTAATTGCGCTTGCACGCGCTTATTTGCGCTTCTACTCTTTATTTGCGCTTCTACAATTTACATCGCTTTACTGCGCTTCTACGCTTTACTGCGCATCTACGCCTCTACGCTTAATTGCGCAATGACTATTCAGGTTGATAAATCACCATTTAGGAAAACACACCCTCCGTGTCCGACGGTGAAACAGGAGGACAAGTATTACGGATCAGAAACAACCAAATTAACTCAAGCGGCATGAGGTCCTGACGGGAATAGGCGCTTTATGATCAAGCAGAGGCCAGCTAAGATCTTCCGTCTCCACTGGCCATCGCTCTCGCGAGGCAACACCTACACCTGTACATCGGATCTCTGGCAAATATGAACAATAATGAAATGGATTGAGATTCGAACAAGTAAATTGATGTCTGCCATAGTTCCTGATGAAAAGCAGCGCCAGTTCCAGTTGCGGGGATGCGTCCAGGGTTGTTGATCTTCTTCCCACCATGAGTCCCACGATTGGTTCCAGCCGCTCCAGTAGGTGTGTTTGCCACTGCCAGAGGTGTGGGATAGGCCTCCTTGTCACACCCACAACGCCGGGGAGAGGGGTCTTGCCAGCACCTGAATGTGCTCTCACTCTCGACGAAAATTAGCAGATCAACCAGAAGTCTGCAAAAATCGTCCGCCGTGGCAGACACACATATCGTCGGGGTTGCTCTCCTCGACTTCCTCCTGCAATGCCACCGCTAGCCGTGCTGCGTACCTTGGAACGGCACCTTTGAGCTCAAAGCTCAGGGTGACGCAGCGGGCCACTTTCTGGATAAACTCAAGCGCAGAAGGCGTCAGGTCAAACACCGTCCTGCCTTTGAACTTGCGGAGACGGTTTCGTTTCTGGAGTTCACTTCCCTTCTCGGCACAAATCTCGAATATTTTGCCAACGTGACTTCTTTTTGGCCTCTTTTGCCGACTTGCAACCATTCACGCACAGTGTTATAGTCCCACGCGCCCTTGCTTTCAAAAACTGCCATTCAAGATTGAAGCATAGAAGCCGCCAAAGTCTACGTCGCTGAGAGGCCCACAAGCCTAGAAGCCTAAAGCCGAGTCACGCCTGGAAGCCTAGAAGCTCTGCTGCGCTTCTGCGCTCTTACGCTTCTGCGCTTAAATGCGCTTCTACGCTTCTGCGCTTTCTTGCGCTTTTACGCTTCTGCGCTTAAATGCGCTTCTACGCTTCTGCGCTTAATTGCTTAATTGCGCTTCTGCGCTTAATTGCGCTTCTACGCTTAATTGCGCTTTTGCGCTTAATTGCGCTTCTACGCTTCTGCGCTTAATTGCGCTTCTACGCTTCTGCGCGTTGTTGCGCTTCTACGCTTTTTTGCGTTGTGCGCTTCTGCACTTTAGCTCGCTTCATTGTTTCTGCGCTTTGCTCCGCTTGTTCTGTGCTGCGCTTCTGTGCTTTGCTGCGCCTCGCTCCCCGTCGGCGCTTCTGCGATTTATTGCGCTTCTGCGCTTCTGCGCTTCTCGGCTTCTGCGATTTATTGCGCTTCTGCGCTTCTCGGCTTCTGCGGTTTATTGCGCTTCTGCGCTTCTGCGCTTCTTGGCTTCTGCGATTTATTGCGCTTCTGCGCTTCTGCGCTTCTCGGCTTCTGCGGTTTATTGCGCTTCTGCGCTTCGCGGCTTCGCCGCTTGACACACCCGGGCTGCAACCCAAATCCCCTTGCAATGCCTTTTCCGCCCAGGGCGCCATCTCATCGCCTCCGTCCGTCCCGCCATGGCCGCGTGCGCCAGCGCCGTGTTGCCAGAGGCGTCTCTCGCATCCAGCTCCACCGAGCGCTCCTGCGACTTGCGAAGCGCAATCGTTGTCGAGTCCTGGTAGAAGTGTTATCTGGTAAAAGCGGTCAAACAGGGGAGCAGGGTAAGATCCAGATTCTGCAGTGCCTATATCAAGGCGATGCTGAACAGCGTTGCGAAACTCGGGACTTCTCTAGGCTGTCCCTCAGATCCCCTGCTAAAAAGTTTAACTTTTAGTGTGAAATGGACATGCCCACTAAACCTTGAAAGGCTAAAATGCTAAGGAACCGGATGGCTGGGAGCCACCAAGTTATCCAACGAGTCACTTGCGTGTCAGTTCAGCTCAACCACCACCAGTGAGTGATGTTCCTCTTTGCTTTGTTGGGAACATTCGCCTGACTTAAGAGTTGAAAAACTGACTTGTCAGCCGGCCTGTCAACAAAAACAGTGAAACTGATGGCGGCTCCCGCCACACCATGCGAAGCGAGTGCATACGACAACGCAGATTCAACCTGCAGCTTTACACGGAAGAAAACGGGATGGCACTTTGTTGGCTATCCATTTTAGTGGGAGCCAGTGGACAACGAGAAGCAGGGCGGGTCAACGGAAACTAACATTCAGTCTGGAAGGTGCGGCAGCAACACGCGAACACCGTTA